AAGCTTATCTATAAAGATAATAATTAATATTCTATACACTAGTGAAAAGTTACAATTACTACATACTATTAAAAATATCAATGTACCTTAGAGTGACTTTGAATTGCGGGTACTAAATTTTGCGATTTTAGCACAAGGAGATTTGCTGGTATTAAAAATTGCGATTAAGTAATTATTATTAATAGTTATATAGCATCATGATGTCGTTATTAATAATTGCGCATATTAATAATTGCGATTTTTAACCCTAACACAAAATTCGCAATTAATAGTACCTGCATTTAAAAGTAACCTTAAGGTATCTCTAAAGCATCATACACGTATATACATGTATGTATAATAGTTAGACTATTTCAATTTATTTACTTAATTCAGTGGGTTGCACTGTGGGTCTCATAGCAGGTGTACTTTTAAATGATACTTCAGCTCCTAAGAAAATTACATAAATATTAAAATGTGTCATACCATTTAGCACAAAATTTTCAAGGGCTGTAAATTTTGCAAATTCACCTAAAAATCTATTGCGCAAATTTATGCCTTCTGCCGTCTTTGTACTGTAAAAATTTGATTTTTGTGGAACTAATTTTTACAAATATTCAAAGAACTTCAAAATTTAGAGACCTCAAAAATTTTGTGCTATACAGTAATTAATGACATGCAAAAATACATGTACAATCAAGTCAATGGGAGTGACAAGTTTATTGCAATATAAAAAATTAAATTAAATTATTAAAACTTGAATGCTATACTACCGTATAGCGCTTTAATTTTGCGAAGTTAAAATTTTGCGGATTGATACAAATCAGTTTTTCACAGAAAAAACTTTTGCGGATTCGCAATATTAATGCCACACCTTTAATGGTAATTGAATAATTAGCGGATCGTTAATTTCACAATTGCATGCTAACCCACAAAAAACAGTGAAAGTTTTAATAATTCTAATTTTATTTTTTATATTGCAATTAGCAAACTTTGGCCGGTGGCATAATTGGAGCATGCGTCAATGCGTCAGAATAGAAATGTTTTCTATTCTGACGCATTGACACATACTCCCATTGGTTTATATAGCACTTCTGGTCATGACGCTAGCGCATGAAAAGCAATGAGTCATATTGAGAACCCGCCTTAAAACAACACTCGGCCAATGAGACAAAATTACTATATGCATGCCTTTTATGGCAAAAGTAATGTGCATAGTGTTCACACTAGACTTGTTTCATATTACAGTCAAACCTCTCTAAAACGAACCCCCAATTAGCGGACACCTCTCTATAACGTACAGTTGCTCTTGTCCCGGCCATAAGGCCATTGGGTAGTGTATAAAAGAACCTCTGTATAGCGGAACCTCTCTATTCTGTATAACGGACGAGATTTACTGTCCCCACACATCTACATGTGCACAAATTAACCTCCAACGGACAGATACGGCCCACGCAACGGACTTTCTAATTAACGTGCATCAAGAAAATGGCGGATTTTCTGGTCTGATTAGCATGGGATAACCTCCGATTTAAGGACACCTCCGTATAAAGGACAGTGATGGCTGGCCCATAGGTGTCCGTCTTAGAGAGGTTTGACTGTAATGGGCATCCATTTCATCTGAGGTGATGAATGTGAAGTGACGCAGTACAGTGTAAACAATGTAAACCAAAGGCAACAAGAACACAAATTGATACATAATCCAGCTGCTAGTGTGAACAAGATTAAGATCAATGCTCAATATTTTATTATGTTAT